AATGCGAAGGGTTTAACCTGTGACCACGCCGATACATACCCATTGATCTGCTGTCTGTCAGTGTCTGCAGAAGTGAGTGATGCTGCCCGGTTGTAGTTACCTGCGTACCGCGCAGGTGTCAGCATCCCGCAGCCATATGGGGACTTCGCGTAAAAAGCGCCGCCGACTGTCTGGTTGCTTGTCTGGCTGCTTGGAGGAGATCGCGTCTGCAAGCGAAGTTGAACTTCGCCGTCCATCCACCGCCAGCTCCGGCACCACCGCCGCCCCAGTAATATCTGATCACTTGGTGTTGCACGCATCCCAGATTGAGCAAGATTATCCTTTCGGGGGTGGGGGGAACGAATTGTCTTTTGGAAGAAGTCGGACAGTCTCCCCCTCGGCCTATCTTTTTCCTTCTGTCCAAGGGGAAAAAACATGCAGACGCAACAGTGTCGCGCCTTGTGCCAGTCTCCCCCCTCCCGCCCTTCCTCCCTTCAAAAAAAAAAAAAGAACGCTTCTGCGTTTCCCACCGAGAGATCCCGGTGCGCACCCAGCACCCAGCCAGTCACCCAATATCCATTCTGGAAAGAGACAGTCGGGGAGAGAGACTGGAGCCTGCTGCTGCTACTGCCATGCTGCAGCCTCGATATTATGAGCAGGATATTCCCAAACAGCTGGAAGGAGCTGATATATGGTGCTGCGCCCTCGTGTTGGGCCCTCCCCAAAATGGACCGGTGCTAAGTGGTAACCTGGTTATTTTCAGCGCGTCACTGGCTTGTCTCCAATTATAGGTTTCCGTCGGGGGCGCAGCAATGTGGCCCCGTACTCCCAATTATTCTGTAAGAGGACTTTGAAACGGCCAAGAGCACTACACTGAGTAATGTCCGAGCATGTGTGTTTTCCTGTAACTGCACACATTCCTGCGGTGTGTTGGCTCGCCCGTCCACATGCGCCACACAGGCCCCGTGCCGCGCTTAGCTGCGTCTCCGGCGGCTCCAGAGCGGCTCGTCTGCGGCTCTCTCGAGGTGTTCCCCTCTTTTATCGATGCTGTTCAGGAGGCTATATACATCCCAGGTTCATCACACCTCTCATGTTACCTCCCTGAACCAGCAACATGTTAGTGTGCTGCGACCCCTGGTGGCAGCGACGCGCCCTGACACTTCATCACATGCATGTGTCAAACACAATCTTATTGTGGACAAATGTAATCAGTGGCTTCAGTCCAAATGTTATAACAAGTCAGCAAGGTTTCTAGTCTCTCTCGTTATGTCATGTTGAGTTGTCTGCTGCTCCATGACTTGACTTAATTTTTCTACTCTGTTTTGCATTTTTTTCTCTATTCTATCCTATTTTTCCATTTCACATTTCAGTAAATTCTGTTCTGTTCTAATCTCTCTGCTATTTAGCCTTATTTTCTATGCTATTCTATTCTTATAGGCCTATTGTATCATTTTATTTTTCTACATATTGTCTGTTTTTATTTAGTGCTATGGACCTTTCTCTGTATCTTAAGATAGGCTAATAA